GTCTACTAATTGGCTTGTTTGCATAGCCAGCACAAATTTTGAGCGTGTATATATAGACATGGCCACGGGTCAACCGACCCGTCGACCCGGCCCGGACCCGGCACGGGTTTGACCGAGGGTCCGGGCCCGGCTCGAATTTTCAATTGGACCGATTCAGGGTCGTCTTTTTTTCGATACCGACCTGGCGGTCCAGGCCGGGTCCAGTTCAGCACGGGAAAAATCAATTGTTTTTGAATTTTTCTATTTTTTTTCTTTTTTTTTTTTAATTTTTCCGGGTCAGACTCGGGTCGGCCGGGTCATGGGCCCGGCACGGGTTTAGGGCGTGCCGGTTCAGGGTCGACAAAACCCAACCCTTCGGAACCGGCCCGCCATTTGGCCATGTCTATGTATATAAATATGTCCGCTCAAAATGAGTTTTTTTAGTTACTAGAGTTAATTTTGAAAATAATTGTATGGCTAATTGTTATTGATATTTTGATTTTATATTAAAATAATATTTAAAATAAAATAATTAAATTTGATTTGATGTAAAAGTAGGAGAGAGATGATATAAAGTAATGATTAGTTAAACTTATCTGAGTGAACTTATACTAATATAAAAAGATTGTTAGAAAAATACATAAATAGTAACTTTGATTCATTAGTTAAACTTATCTGAGTGAACTTATACTAATATAAAAAGATTGTTAGAAAAATACATAAATAGTAACTTTGACTTTTTAATCAAATGGTTGACTTTCCTTTTAAGGAAATATTATAAAAATAATTTTGATTTTTAAGAAATCGTGTACACGTTTTCAAATGCCCAATTTGAAATATTAAGTATTCAACCATTGATATTTTTTATACAAGATTTTTACATTTTAGATTCCATCATTACAAATATCTACCATTATCAAAGTAAATCATGTTTTCAAAATTTTATGCTTCCAAATTTAAATTTTCAAAAAAATAAAATAAAATATGATACATTATTTTACGCAATACTATAATACAATAGGTATCACCTATAATTCAGATTATTATTTCATAATTTTTAGGCCCAAATATTTTTGCATTCGATATAAATTTTGTATAAATTCTTTTCCTAAAATTTTATGGATTGCGGTAGATCTTTAAATCCAAATGAATTTACTTTAAGTATAAAGTAAAATCTCGCCTAATAATTTCTATTTTACTACAATTATTAACTTTTTTTAAATTCTGTGAAAAAACTGACGATTGATTTGTAATTTGAATTTCAAATTCATCAAACATTTAAAGAAAAATATCATAAGCATATTTTTTTAATGCATTTCATTTTATCTTAACTTACATATAATCACATTCCTCACAAACATTAAATTTGCTTATATATTTCTAAATTAATACATTAAATATTTATCATTATATATATATAAAAAAATATTACTTCTATAACAGTTATAAATAATAATGATATTATACGATAATAAATTTTTTAATAAAATAAAATTTGAGTATTATGACGAACTAAAATATGTAAAATTGTTACTTTTTCTAATTAACAAATAAATATATGTCAAAATATTATTTATATTAACATAAACGGGTCAAGGGGTTAATGTATTGTTACAGTTAAGTTTAGAAAAAAATATTCTAAGGTACGAAACCCCCGTACATCGCACGAGATTCTCACTAGTGAATAGTAAATTAAAGGTAATGTAATGTGAAAGAATGATTGATTAATATTATTTAATTATATTGATAATATTGAAGATGATGGAGTTGGGTTAAAATTGAGTTAGATTTTGAGTATGAATTGAGTATTGATTGAGTTTTTTCATATACAAACACATCCTAAAGTGTGATAATCAAATTAAAATTTCGCATCACTTAAATGCACGTACAGTCGGATCCAGTTCAGCCCCTTATTTTTTTTATCATTAATTTTAAATTGTAAGACATGTTGACATAATTTTAAAATAAGCATTTCAATTTGTAATTTGTTTTTTATTATTATTAAATTTAAATATTTTGGTCATAAAATTAAAAGAATTATAAACACATAATCATACTCATATAAGCCTTGAAAAATTATAAGTCGCCGCTTTTGATCTCCGACTTGTTCACATGTTTAGAAACACCAAGTACCGAATAGTAATCATGTGGGTTAGAAGAAGATCATAAGCACTTCTACACATAACAACTATAGAGAAGGATGAAAATACTATTCTTAAATATAACAATAAAGCAGTTTGTACACATAAATTATATCTTAAAAGTTATCATAAAGCCAGTACACTGTGTAAAAGCAAAAGAATAGAAAAGTTAACTTATGGTATCCTTCGACACAAGCTTTTGAAATACTATTGTATCTTACTTTATCAGCTCTAACAACGAATCGAGCTCCTCTTCTGTAACGTGGATTCTTATATGATCTTGAACTAAAAAGAGTCCTTAGGGATTCTTGAGAAAAAAATGCAAATTTTCTTATGCTACTAATATTCTTTTATTTTTATTTATTTATTTATTTATTTATTGCTAAACATCAAATTGAATTACCACACCTTGAAAGTACAAACCGGTAATCAACGAATTACACTTGATAACTTTTACTAGCCTAGACTAAAAAGGAAACCAAACGGGGAAAAGCAGAACAAGTGTTCCCCTACGCGATCCTTTACAGCCAAAATGACAAACCGCACAAAACACTCACACCATGAGACTAAAAAAGCTCCGCAAGGGAGATGAAAACACTCAACGGAGGGAGACGACAAAAAAACACACTCCCGAAAGGGAGAGAAAATACTGAAAACACACAAAAATATGTAAAAAATACTAAAAACACACAAAACAAAACTAAAGCCCTCCCCACCACGGCCAAACCTCACCTAGCAACCTCAAGTAAGCCAACACCCAGATAATTACCCAATAGGGATCAAATCTTAGAAACTATGCGGCCGGCTATCAAGACCTGGACCAAAGATTAGGGTTTGCCTGCAATGAGAGAAAAGGGGATCGGGTTTTTTTTAGAGAGAGAATTTTAGGAAAGGGAAATGACTATAACCAAGAGAATTGCTTATCAGTGGTTACTAAGATTCAAATATATCTACACAACAAAAAATGTTAAGAGTAATGTTGCAGGTCTACAAACCAATTTACAAAGTAAAAAAATAAAAAAAAAATAAAAAAAATCCTCCATCTATAGGGCAGCTGATAATGAACATACAATATATTCATCAGTTTTGCAAATACAAAGATAATTACAAAGCAAAAAATACAATTAGGTTACCAACAATTTCAATTATTCAAATTAAGACTGCTAAATTTTGTCTAACAAAGTCAAGTTCAATCCATAGACCCATGACTACCAAAAAAGGATTATGGAAACAAAAATATAATATAATAATCATAAAACTGTGAAAGAGGATATCGTTACCAGAGTATATATAGCTACTGTGCACAGCGAAGACGAATGTAGATACAGTCTGCGTGTATGTATAGAAAGAGAAAGGGGAACGACAACTGACAAAAGCTATTCGTTTCTTGTGCAAAGGACTCAGATGCGATTCCGTTTCTGCGCGAAAGGCAACGGAAACGTGGGTTTTTGTTTTTTCGTTTTTTCCTTCCCTTTTTATCTATTGGACGGTGAGAGGAAATCAGAATATTGATATTGAAACAAAATTGTGTCGAATTGAAAAATAATCCTTGATTTAATTCTTGAGATTTCACAAATATTAATATCGAGGTCAAAAAATTAAGTACTAAATTATAAATTAAATGTATACTATTCTTTGTTTTTATGTTGATTTTAGTTTTAAATTATTTGAATATTTTCGTAATACATAATATCATAACGTAATAGTATATGAATTTCACTTTCGTTTGATATTTGTAAATGATAAAATATATTACCCTTTTATTGTTGATTTTTTTACAATGATATGAAAGAATAGAAATTATTATTTAAAATAATACATACATATATATATATATATATTATTAAGGGTATAGTTTTTCATTACTAAATTTCATAATCAGATTTTTAACGTAATTGTGATTAGTTTATTATTATTTTTAAGGCTAATTTGGGAAACAATAGTAATTATGAATTTCCATATATATGATCCTAAGAATGTCAATCTTAATAATCTCGATGAACCCTCAAATCAGAATTGAACCGAACCAAAATATAAAGATGGTCCAATTGAACCATTCCAATTTTTCATGAACGAGAATGGAATTTTGATAATCTCCACATTTTGGTTATGTTATGAGATTTTTAAACCAAACCAAACTAAATCATTTCATTCGCACCTTTACGGTTCCATTCATTCTCACCCTTTCTAATCTCCAAACCAAACCATTTCATTCTCACCCTTACGGTCATGTGGCTCCATTCGTAATATAAGGGAAAGATAGGGGTGGTTTGTCAATTTTTAAAGAGCTATAATTGATTGGGCTCCATGTGGGTCGTTCTTGCTGGGCCTTTTACAAATGGTAGTTTGCAAGGGCCCATATTTGCTTACATATTCAGTTCTGATTGATTCTACAGACTACACTTGAAAGTTGATAGTGTAGATCCATATTGGCGTTGGTCAGTTGTACTTTTTCATAATGCTTCAAGTTGTTTTAAGAATAGAGAAATGAGAAGGTTGTTTGAGTTGGTAGTAGACAAAATGATTGATTGAATAATTTTAATCCACTTCAAAATGTATGAAAATCATCTAGGATGCAAGTAATTATTATCATTAATAACATATTATATACTAGATATCCGGTTAAAGCACCAATTTAAATAAGTCTTACATAATTTGCAGGGACATTTTTCCTAAATTATCAAATAATTGGTATTCTCATGATTGCAGTTGGACATCCGTGCATTGGCTCCATTCATTCTTCACAACTAAAACAAGGTCACATTTTCTATGTTAAACGGAGAAGAACGGAGAAATTTGCAACCCACAC